CTGAAAGAATTTCACAACAAGTGAACAGAGACAGAAACGACTCTGTTCGGAGCAGCTATTAGCCGCAACGTGTGGCACCGAAGTGGTCACTCCTCATGGGTCTGCTCACTAATGAGCTCTGAATGCCCATTAAACTGGGCCGCCATAGGCCCAGAGCCACCCGGACAATGGCACGCATGAGTGCCTTCCTCTGTCGCTATTGGCTGGCTGAAGGAAGAAACAACTGGTATCACTCAAAATTAAGCAGAGTTGACAGTACAGTTAGATGATCATTAATTAGTGTATGCGGGCAGATGACGGCTCATAGTCATTCCTGATGACAAGACAGGCTAGCGTGACTCATTTTGAAGCATAATTTAGGCCGGCTCTGCCCTATTTCTGGGGCCATGTGGAATTGTAGCCAAAGGATTTTAGACAGGGTCAAATAATTCCTACACAGTATGTTGGGGAGAACAGAATATTTTTTAGAAGGTCTTGGGGGATTGACTGGCAAGTACACCAGTTACCTACAGACTAAGTCTTCTGAGAGGGGTGCGCAATGAATACTTCAAAACACTTTGTGTTGCACGCCCAAGGTTGCATCGCTTGTTGGATGAACTCGAACATCATGTTGGAGTGGGAGTCTCCATTTCCCCGCAGAAAAAATGACAATAATCCCAGGGCCAGCTTCGGAGCTGCATTAGTTACTTGTCTTATCGGCGTGACAAGGTGCCCACCAAAAGCAAATTAAGAAAGGAAGGGTTTGCTTTGCCTCAGAGTTAGAGGTGACGGTGCAATTGTGACCATAGTTTAAGACTGCCGGTTATGTTATGTCCACAGCCAAGAAGCAGAGAGCAATGCACGTTTATGCCCATCTAACTTTCTCCTTTTTACTCAGTTCAGGATCTCTGCCCATAGATTAGCACCATACACAGAGAGGGTGGGGCTCTCCGCCTCTGTTTTAGTAATCTAAATGAGATAACACCTCACAGATGTACCCCGAGACTTATCTCTTCAGTGATTATAGATTTTTTTTTTTTGCCAAATTGATTATCAGTTGACACCACAGTAGGGGGTTATCACAAAGATCTAAGGGAAGACCTTGTAATTCATATGAATTGACAGAGATAGATTTATCATTTTCCAAATACTCATCTGGTGCACAGAAATAATATCAACGTTGGGTAGGGTAGACTACTACCCTATGGAAAAATAAATATGAAAATGGTCTAACCAAAGAGATGTTTAGGTATTTCCCCCCAAACATTTCATTCTGAAAAGAATGATTAAAACATCATAAAATTTCAGATGAACTCAATAAGAAAATCATTTTCTTTTTCTCTTATTTCTATTCTGTGAAACATTCAGACATGTATACTTTGTGTTTTGGTTAATATTCACCCCTATTGCCTTCCTTCAGCTCTCTTGAGAACCTCTAAACACATCTTCCTTCCAACTTTATGTTCTTTATTTTTTTAAAAAAATAATAACCAACTTAGACTAATTAATGATATCTACATAATATGGGTGTGAGACTATCCACGTGGGAAGGGGAGGCTACCACAGACATACCCCCAATGACACATCATTCTTTCTTTCCAACAACCATCAGGTACCCATAGTTCCTCAGCTGTGTGTATGTGGGAAGGGGCGTCTTATAAACCAAACACCATCCATGCTGGGTTTTCCCTAGTTTGATCTTGTGTCGACAATCACAGCGACCGTAAGTCCATGTTTGTCCTTGTCCTATTATGTCCAGAAGGCAGCGTTTGACATTACCCTTTTCCATCTACTGGATTTTATAGTCTTTCTGCTTCTCCTCTAACATCCCTTGAGATTTGTGTGGGAGGAAGCTGACACAGATGATCCATCTACTTTGGACATTTAAAGTCACATATTCTCAGCACTTTCACCTCTTCCCCACAGGGCTATGACCTCCCCAGTCTTGGGCTTTTGAGCAGGTTTACATTGCCAGACTTGAAACTCTCTTCCAAGGATCAGGCCTCAACACTAATCAGAAAGTGACTGGTTACTCCCACCATCTTCATGCCACGATCGCAGCTATGGCCACATCTTCCATGGCAGGTTGGTATTAAGGTATACAGGGTTCAGTGCTGGGTAAGTATGCTAGTTGTATGGTATTTTCTCCCCGAGCAGTTAGCACAGCACCTGCCTCTTGATACTATAAAAACCAGGGAGAAAGCCTCCTGGTCAGTTTTGAATTGATTTCTCTATTTTTGTAATAGATACTTTGTAGTAAATAATGTGTAGTAAATTGATTTACTACAACCAAAGTGTGTGTTGTCTGCAGCATTAAGTTCTTGCCGTCTAGTTAGGCTGTGATAGGCAACCAAGAACAATAGCTATAGCATTGTGTTGATGTGGCGACCTCTGGGGCTTCCCTTAATCAATGAATCACACATAGAGAAGGACTCCATATCTGGAACTGAAAATTTCGTTTAATACTCCACATGAGCAGCCTTGCTCACCCATACAGGTAACCTTTAAAAATTATACCTTTAATTATCCTACAAACTAAGGGGTTTCCACAAGACTCCAGCATTTATCCTTAGTTTTGATTAACCTACGACCCACTCCCTCTCCCCTCCCATCTCTCTGTCTCCATCCCAGAGGAGACCAGGAAAGAGTTAATTAAAACAAAGGATGTATGCAAAAGTATACCAGGAAAACAAGCTGTTGGTGGGGGATAGAACCTAATGGAGAATAATATCACTATTATTGTATTCATGTTCTTTCCAGAACCTTTATCATGAAGGGGTCAAAGGCCTTTCAGCATCTAATGAAATGATCAGGTGTTTGTTTTTTTGGGTTTTTTTCTTTCAGTTTGTTATATGGTTGATTTACATTGACAGTTTTTCATATGTTGAATCATCCCTGCATCTCTGGGATGAAACCTACCTGATCATGGTGGATTTTTTGATATGTTCTTGGATTATGTTTGCCAGTATTTTGTTGAGTATTTTTACATTAATGTTCATGAGGGAGATAAGTCTATAATTCTTTTTTTGTTGCATCTTTGTGTGGTTTGGGTGTCAGGGTAACAGTGGCTTCATAAAAAGAATTTGGCAATATTCCTTCTGTGTTTATTATGCAGAACAATTTGAGTATTATTGGTATTAGCTCTTCTTTGACGTTCTCATAGAATTCTGCGCTGAAACCATCTAGCCCTGGGCTTTTTTCGGTTGGGAGGCTTTTAATGACTATTGCTATTTCCTAGCGGGTTATAGGTCTGTTTAAATTGTTTATCTGGTTTTCATTTAATTTGGTATGTGGTATCTATCAAGAATGATGTCCATTTCTTTTAGATTTTCCAATTTTGTGGAGTACAGGTTTTTGAAGTATTACCTATTTCTGTGGAGTCCGTAGTTATGTCCCCCCCCCCCTTTTCCCTGATTTTATTAGTTTGGATATTGTTTCTCTGCTTTTTGGGTAGTTTAGATAAAGGTTTGTCTATCTTGTTGATTTTTCTCAAGGAACCAACTCTTTGCTTCATTGATTCTTTTATTGTTCTTTGTTTATATTTTACTGATTTTAGCCACAAGTTAAACAATTTCCTACTACCTACTCCTCCTGGATGAGTTTGCTTCTTTTTGTTCTAGAGCTTACAGGTGTGCTCTTAAATTGCTTGTGTGAGATTTCTCCAAATTATCAAAATCCCAACACAATTCTTCACAGACCTTGAAAGAATATTCAACTTCATATGGAAAAACAAAAATCCCAGGATAACCAAAACAATCCTTTATAATAAAGGAATTTCCAGAGGCATCACCCACTATTAATGTATGGGGTTTGGTGTGTGATTTAAGCTTTAATAATGTTTCTTTTACAAATGTAGGTGCGCTTGTATTTGAGGCCTGCTCAGAATTAAGACTTTGTCTTGATGGATTTTTCTTTTGATGAATCTGAAATGTCCTTGTCCCTCTCTATTGATCAATTTTAGTTTGAAGTCTATTTTGTTCGATATTAGGATAACTACACTGGTTTGCTTCTTAGGACCATTTGATTGAAAAATCTTTATCATTGGAAAACTGCAGGGTTTGTATTCTCGCCAGCAACTTTCAGTGCTAAAGATCACCTGTTGGTCTTCTACGAGGTCATCTCCATAAACTCTCAGGAACAGGTCTAACGGACTTCCATTCTTTCCCAACTCTAGCATGCTAATTTGGTCATAACCATAAACACAGAAGTGACCTCACAATCATCATTTGATACACAATATACAAGGCAATCAAAAATAAAGCTAGGTTGATGAAGGCCAGATGATACTGATAGATGTATAAAAAATATGACCCACAAAATAGGGAACTCAGGATCAAACCTCTGTGTGTGTGTGTGTGTGTGTGTGTGTGCGCACGCGCACGTGCGTGCATGTCTGTGGAGGCATGAGTATATCCAAGTGTGCGCATGGAGGTGAGAAGATAGAACTTACAAGGGTGTGCTCTCCTTTTCCACTGTGGGTTCTGAGACTCAAACACAGGCTTTCAGGCTTGCTTAGGATGACATTTATCTGATAAATTCTCTCAGTGACCCTGGGCATCTCTGAGCATGGATCACTTATTTAAATTCTCAAAACCTCCAGACCTAGATCCTATGCTTGTTGATGCAAATGTATGTTGGATATGGTTTTCTAGAAGACTCGGGGTTTGCAAGGTTATCTCTGAGAGTGAGAAAGGAGAGTTGGGTGTGGAAAAAAAATTTTCTAATGCACCTTATTTAAAACGAAGTACTGAAGTAATTGGACAAAGTGTTTTGCTAACTCTACATAAGAGGTAGAGTTCAATACACTATTTTAAAAGCTTTTTAACATTTGTTCCAGGCAATAATGGCACACACCTTTAATCCCAGCGCTCAGGAGGCAGAGACAGGTGGATCTCTGTGAGTTGGAGGCCAGCCTAGTCTACAGAGTGAGTGCCAGGACAGGCTGCAAAGCTACAGAGAAAACCTGTCTTGAAAAACAAAAACAACAACAACAAAAAGTTTTTTAACTTTTGAAACATTTCTTAATTCGATTAAGTTTGGGAAAGGTCATCAACATTTTCTAACTGATACAAATAAAGGGAGAAAGTCCTAAAATCTCCTCAATCACAATAAAGCAGTTAGTGATTGCTTTGTTTAATAGTTAAAATATTTTTAGCTCTAGGAAATGAATAATTCATATTTTAAGCTTGGTTTGTGCATTTGGGAAGAGAGATTGGCAGGGATTTTATTTATAAAGGGTGCTGGCATTCTGGAAGCATCAGTAGCAATTCTTCAAACAGGGTGTGACACCAATAAGCCCTACTTGGCCATTGCTACATGTCTTCCTTCCAACAATGGTGAAAGGGCCAGGCAGCCCAGGTAATTCCTGGTTATTATCACCACCGTATTTACTTTGGCTACCAGGACACTCAGCACTGGCTTTGACACCATATGGAAAACTTTGACAACTTCAATGTGGTTCCAGTTCTGGTTTCGGTTGACTGGCAAGCAAGGCGTTCCCATGCCTATCAAACTCATCAGGCCAACCGCCTGCCCCTGTTGAAAGTGAAATCCTACTTAAGTTCTCATTAACAAGTCACCAGTGGGATCCACGGGGCCATGGTGAGAAGCAAGTCGGGCATGGTTTCTAGGCTACAAAAAAGAGCTAAGCAGATGAGCTGGCGGGAATGGGGCTAGGTCAAGGTGGTTTGGGCAAATAATATATATACTCCTAATATACAAAATGATTGGTGGTTAAGAGGAACGGAGCTTAGTGCCTCTGCTCCTTCTCACCTTGCCCTTTGCCACATTGATTTTGATAGCTACTCGGGCTATTTCTTAATTAGACTATTTCCTTGAGTACCTAAGACTGGATGAAATACAGACCAAGTCCTTGGCAGGCCACGAATCTCACGATCTGGTCACTGAAACCCCAACTTCATATATTCCTGATAGCCATGTACACTTGCTGGCAACATCATCCTCACTTGAGGAAATACCACCTGCTCTTCAATACCCAGCCCATCATGGTGCCCGTAAGCCTTCTCAGATCTGTCCTGTGAGCGTGGTCCTTGTCGTTCTTCCGATCCCCTGAGCCCCACCGCAAGCCTCTCTACAGCAGTCAGCATGCAGAACTCTACATGCTTGCTTACTCCCGATGGCCTTGTGTTTCCTAGTCTGTTCATGCTGCTGGCCGTCCGGATAAAACTGTAAGCAAGAGGCTAATGAACCTTTGGAGTCCTCAGGCCGGGAGGTGGAAGAGTTGTAGCCGTCTGGCGTCCTAAGATAACCGCATCTGGGGAATTTGGCCTGACTTGTCATTTTTGTTGACAAACGGGCTGGAAAAAAAAGTGTAGAATAAGTGAAGTTGGTGTAGTGTATTTTGTCTTGTTGTGGCCTCTTAGCCCTTAGTATCCTGAAAGCAAAGTCATACTGAGGTGTGGATGACAGCGTTGTTGCATCCAGAGTCCCTGCGTCTTTAAAGAATTTCATGGAAACATCTAAGCAATGTTCAGCCCCAAGAAAAACATTTTTTTTTAGTGTTATTTCAAGGAAGACAACCAAGAAAGGAGTTTGGGGTTCAAGCCTTTCCACAGCTCTTCATTCATATCAGATTAAACAACCCCATTGTCTCGTGCACAGAAGTGTCCCATCCAGCCTGGGGAGTCGGGAGGCTCACATAATTTGAGCTTTCTTCTCTTATAGATGTGGCTTTCAGAATGTGGTCCTGTCTGGAGACGTTTTTCACCACCATAACTAAAGTAGATAAAGGACATTGTATCGTTCAATATCTTACAATGGGTAGAATGACCACAACTCCACCCCCCACCCCAAACGTTAGGAACATTAAGATTGGGAACCTCTGGTTGAATGAAAGTGAAGTTTAATGTTAGGCATTTAGAATATGCTTATTTTTTTTAGATAATAATAATAATTTCTATATGCTATGGGATTCTTCAAAGGTGTAGCTCACAGCCCTCATTTTGTAAACAATTACATTGACTTTGGGAAGGAAAACCCCAATCCCAATCAAACTGCTTATATATTTAATCTATTATAGATTGCTTTTCAGTAAATACGGCCATTTGCAATAACGCTATAATGCACTCAATGATTTACGTCTTCTCAAGTTGTAGCTTTTCTCTAAGTAGTTTGCAATATCATGGTTGGTTGTTCTTTTCCCTTCCGTGGGAAAAATACATTTTCTATTGTTGTTAAACATGTCTTAACAAAGTGGAAATCATTCAATTACAAAGAGTTTAATATTTCCAAGTAAAACTTTATGGCTCACATTTTCAAGATAGATCATTTCCTCATTGCTGGTGGGGGCAGGCGGGAGCTAGTTGGAGCAGCTGCAATGCATCATGGGAAGGTAGCAGGTGCTCCAGAGAGAAGAACGCTGGAGTAGGAGGCAAGAGGCTTTTCTCTTAATCTGATGGCCTTCGGAATGTGTTCCCTGGAACCATAGACATTTTGCCTTAGCATCTATGAGCTCTATTCCTTCCATATTCTGGAGCTTCAGCCCAACCGTCACTCCCTCCCCTACCCCCAGAAACAAGTGTTTCATGAGTGTGAGAACCACAGATCAAAATTCACTACTTCTGCTCCCCAGAAGAGCAAGTCACTCACCTTCTTAGCCCTTTGGTTGTTTTTTTTTAATATACATTTACCATTTTGAATGAAAAAAGCAAGGGGTTTGGACATAAACACTTTTCAAACTGAAAAGCATAGTAGAATATTATGAATCCACGACAAAAACAGATCCAGTACAGCGGAAGCCTAAAGGCTTGGACTCCACTGTCAGCTGGTTTTTAAATTCTCCTGCTACTCATCCAAAAGCAGAGCTTAGGGCATGGAGTTGAATCTGCTTATCAAAACCAGGGTTCATGGAAATGACTCGGTGTTTACTAAGGTAAGCAAGAAAACCTGCAAGCCTTGCAGAAAAGGCACCCCCAAACACCAAAGGAATGTTTGGATCCTGGCATAATTGCCTCTCGATGTGCTGGGGCTGTGTTGATAAGGATTGTACACTGAACTTCAGTTTCACCGATTAAAGTCCCCAAACATTCCGTGGAGATATCATTTCTTCCTAGCCAAATGTCTGGTGCCCTGGAAAAGGGAAAAGAATAAAATAACCTGTAAAGTACTAATTTCTAAATCGATTTCCCAAGCGTTTGCTTTTGTCTCCATTGCTGATCTGCCATGGAGACAAATCCTCTCAGAATAACCCAAGTTATAGAAGTGCAGTTGAGCCTTGAGTCATTATTAAGCGATGTTTTATGAAGACACACAACCATCGGAAGGATCTCTGTTACCTCAAACCTGAAATTCCAAGACGATCTTATGAAAGTATTTACCTCCCCCGCCCCAAATACATCTGAGCAAAGCCTCTACATAGATATTAACAGTTGTGAACTATTTTCATTCCTCTATTTTCATTCCACGTGATCCTAAAAGGTCATCTTAGGAGGCCATGTGACACCAAAGGAAATAAAATCTTCTGAAATGTGGCTTCTAGTTAGAACACATAGAAAAGTTAGTGACTTTCCACAAAGGATTCTGACCTCAGAACCCACCTGTGAAATTACTCTGATTTCCCACCTTCGAGCATTGCTTTGAGAATAAATTAAATAAGATATTTGGACTGTGTTAGAGAATTAATGCAGTGGTTGGCATATTAAGCACTCCTTTTAAAAAGTGACCATCGCCCACAAACCACAATCCCAGAGAACTTAGACAACAATGAGGACACTAAGAGAGACTTATATAGATCTAATCTACATGAGAAGTAGAAAAAGAAAAGACAAGATTTCCTGAGTAAATTGGGAGCATGGGGACCTTGGAGGAGGGTTGAAGGGGAGGGGAGCGGCAGGGAGGGGAGCAGAGAAAAACATAGAGCTCAATAAAAATCAGTAAAATAAAATTTAAAAAAGCAACCATCAGTATCCAAGAGCAGTTAAAATGTACAGGCTGCCTTTATAAACTGACAAGAACACCCTTCCAGTTCTGCTCACTGGATTCAGAATTTACTGGTATGAGTAGATTTACTTCTAGAAACCATGGGAACAAGCTTCTTTTGAAACTGTGGATCTTTGGGTCTAGGAGCAGCATTAAGATGATTTCAATCACAGAAGGCTCTGAATTTGGTATTTGGATTTTAAAAGACCTTCTGTGGAACATTCGATCAGTCTGTGGGCATATCACTGCCTACTGATAAGGACAGACAAACGAAACAAATTTTGATTGCCCAAATGGGGACAAGGGTGTCCTTCACCTCCCGAAATGTTCTTGCATTTGCCAAGATCTCATAGGGATTCCTAGAAAACTTAGATGTTCATAGGCAGGGAGGTGTGCCCTTTTCTTTCTTAGAATCCAAATCTCTAATGCCAGAAGGGCTAGCAACAAAAATACTATGATGCAACCAGGATTTGGCCTTTGCCCACAAGGTACTCTCCTCAGTTCAATGAATAGCATATGCTTTGTGCAAGTATAAGCCACACACGTAGACTCAGCAACACAGGCGACTCAGCACCTGCCACTGCTGAGATGCCCCATCTTTTGTCATTGACCTGTTCTAGTCTTCACTTATTATAAGGGAAGACATTTTGATCCATATTCCACAGTTGGGAATAATAGTTGAGAAAGCCAACGTGATTCAGTTAAGATTGTACTGCTGGCATGAGTCTGGCTTCAAAGCCAAGCTTGCCTGAAACTTAGTCACATATCATGTTCACAATACCATTTTGTCTCCAACTCAGCTTAGTCCCTCTCATCAGAGACTTGTGAGCTCTTAAATCTTCACTGGGTGGTGCAGGTTGTAGATCCAAAATAACTCTGCATTTAATTTTTCTTAAACTTTCTCTTGGCCTTTGAACAACGGCTGCCATCATGGACAGATGTGTTGGCAGAGGCTGCTCGTTGGTTTTCCTGGCTTCCCAGACCTGAAATAATTGCCCAGAAACTTTATTATTCGCAATACTGTTTGGTCAATAGCTTAAGAAAATTTCTAGTTATCTCTTACATCTTAAATTAGTCCATTTCTATTAATCTAAGTATGGACATGTGGTTGTAGCCTATTGGCAAGGTTCTGTCCCATGTCCCACATCTGTTTCCTATGGTGACTACATAACTTCTCCTGACTCCACTACTCTCTCTCTATATATCTCTTCCAGTCTGGCTATATTCTGTTAAGCCATTGTCTGGAAGCAGCTTCTTTATTAACAAATGGCATTAAAACATATTCATAGCATATAGAGGGGAATCCCACATCATCTCCCCTTTTCTGCCTAAATAAAAAGGAAGGTTTTAACTTTAACATACCAAAATTACATATAACAAAAAGGTATCAAGCAAGAATTATAGTTACAATATTTATATCTACTTTATCTTTTATCATAACTAAGGAGAACTTAACTATCTATTCTTCAACTCTATCAAAGACCTAGAAGGATATAATGTTACCTAAATTAACAGGAAGCGCATTTTAATCAACTTCCCAAACTCTAGAATTGACAGAGACATCTTGCTACCTGACACTCACCCAATGTTCTTCTGTAACATTGGGGCACCCAATCTTCAGCCTAAAGGCAGACTTTTCCATGAAGCAGGAAATTTCAAAGACAGTGTCAACTATATTGGTTCTTTGTCAGTCACTTTCTTCTGTGTCATGCAGAATGTTTGCCAGACTCTTTTATGAAGCAGAAACCCTGAAGGACTGTCTCACCTTTAGGCAAATTATGCAGTCATTTTTCTGTGGGTCCAGTTCATACAGCATAACATCAAGCAGTCCAGGCAAGATCGGTTTCTTGCCCAAATGGCTAACCAACTTCATAAGGAGCCTCTTTGATGTCCATCTTCCTCTTGAAGTAATTGGTGCTGCCAGGAACAGATGTGTCTCATTGTCATAAGAAGTTATAAGTTCTTAAGCATTTTAAATGCCATATTATGTTAGTCTTTGAAAGGTTTGAAGAATAGCTATCTAACTAAAATCTATCTATCTATCTATCTATCTATCTATCTATCTATCTATCTATAAAACCTAACTAACATGACTACAAGCTTGACTATTATAGATGATTATCTATTGACCTATTTTTCTTAATTATATGTTACATTTTTAATTGAGCTGCACAAACACAATACCTTAATCAAGAGCAGAAATACATATAACAAAATTGACCTTAAATTTGTATCAATAAACCAAAATCATCCATATCATGGCAAAGTAGTCATCTCTATAGCATATCCCACTTTTAATGTAAATAAACATTTATGAACAATATTTGGGAATTTGAGCATATTTCTCTCTAAACTGTTTCCTGCTTTTTGTTGGTCAAAGTAATTTGGGGAGTTTACAAAGACTTTTGAGGGAGGCTTGTTCCATCAAACCACATTAGTATGGAAGAAATCCACAGGCTCTCACTCTCTGTGGAAATAAAAGCAGAACCTCTTTACCAAAGCAACATATCCTTAGACCCAAAGTCTGAAGTCAAGATATTCTAAAATATATAGTTAGTTTAGCTTAGCAGTCCATACAATGAAATGTCTCTCTGTGCTTAGTTCATTCACAGTCAAAAAAATTCAAAGAAAACACGATAGTATGCGCAATCCACGCTCTCTGTGTATATTCCATCTTTATGTGGCTTATTTTTCTTTACTCCTTTAATTTATGACTATCTGTACTCTGTCTCTTTAAAGACTTTGTTTTATTTTTTCTATATTCATTTTCTTCTCACTGCCTTCATACATTTATTCAACACTGTGATCCCTTTAGAGGTCTTTTTCATCAGAATCTGTCTTTATGGCATATTTGTTATTATTTTCAGACCAGACACACTTCTTTTCTTTTGAATGCTAAGCAGGTGTGGCTAGGACCAACTCTGTCGTCCTGCCTGCTTGCTCCACCCAGCCCAACATGGCGGAGGCATGTTCCCTGACTCTGAGAGCCATTCTCTCTGCCCCAGATCCAGGGTTGCAGCAGGTCTCTGTCACCATTAAGCAATTTGTAACACACTAAACACAGACCCCCTTTAAATACTAGGCCTCTTGAAAGAGCCAGAGCTGTACATGCAACTATCACAAACCAGAAAGTGGCCATTTCTTAAAGAAGCCATGCGTTTTTTGTTTGTTTTATAATTATTTTTATTACAACACTGCTTAGCCTATTAGCTCATGCTTCTTATTGACTAGCTCTTATATCTTAATTTAACCCATTTCTATAAATCTGTGTATCACCACGTGACTTACCAGCAAGGTTCCATCTGGTGTCAAGCATCTGTCTCCTGTGGTGGCTACATGGCTTCTCCTGACTATGCCTACTCTCTGTCTCTCTCTATATATCTCTCTTCCAGCCTGGCTATATTCTGTTAAGCCATTGGCTGAAAGCAGCTTCTTTATTAACCAAAGGTAATAAAACATTTGGAGCATACAGAAGGGAATCCCACATCACAGGTGACAGGCTAAGTAGCCTGCTTTTCCTTTGGGTTTCTTTGTTTCCTCCTCATAACAATCCAATGCTGTTGTTGTTCTTCCGTCTACATTGCCTCTGTAAGCAAGGAGACACATTGTAGCGCTAGGGAAATGGAAAAGGTGGGAGTCAAGCCTAGTTCCTACATTGCCTCTGTAAGCAAGGAGACACATTGTAGCGCTAGGGAAATGGAAAAGGTGGGAGTCAAGCCTAGTTCCTCAATTTTATAGGCATGTGTAGCATCTCTCAGGGGTGGCTTGTGTGGGTAAATAATGTAATTTGAAAGTTATGTCAGGAATATGAATATTGCCAGGTGGTGGTGCACACCTTTAATCTCACCCAGCACTTGGAAGGCAGAGGCAGGGAGGTTGTGTACAGTTCCTATGACACATTCAATCACCTGGGAGACATCTACACTCAGTGCTGGCCCCAAGTCAGATATGTATTCTCTGTGTATTTTATGGTTTATTTTCCCTACACACTATCACTCTGCAAATATATTGAACTAAGAAAATGTTAGCTTCAAACTTTCATGAATTATACCCTATATTTTTTTAACTTAGGTAATTATTTACTTTTTTGTGATTTAAGGATATATGTTTCTAAAGTTTTGAATCTAAGACCACTTGTA